TTGAGAAATGAGTAGTGTAATGTTAACATCCAAGAAAGTAAAACAAATAGTCACCTCTGCAGCAGCTCATTAACGACTGGTAACACATAGAGGTCAATGTGCCAGAGCTTAAAAAGTGTTGATACAATTGAAGACCCTTCCACTATAAATAGGATGGAGGATGGGTCACTGTATCCTTATTACCAATGACAGTCACCCCAAGAAACACAAGCAGCTGCATCCACCCTCTTTCAGGGGATAGAGCCACTATACTTCTTATGCAGATCAGCTACATTGTCACTGGAGACTCGGATCCAGCCATCCTCCCGCACATGGTAGAGGTTGACGGCACCTCCTGAGTAGGCATCTCTGTAGGTGGCATGGTAGATGGCTCGACGGGCCAAATCATAGGCCTCCTCCACTTCCAGGTCATAGGAATAGCCCCGATCCATGACCCCATATGCATACACAGAGAAGGTGGCCCCTGAGATCCGGTTCCCTTCACTGTCCTCATAGTAGAGGCCAGGGCCTCTCTTACCCCAGCCACAGATCATGGTGCCCATGGAGAGCCCCATGCCTTTGTACTGATACACCATGTTGGCAAGCAGCTTGGAGGCAGCTGCTACAGAGATGAGTTCCTTATTTCGAAGCTCACAGATTCGACATTGCCGAGCCAACAGCCATTCCCAGAAGCTGCAATCTGCTGCACCCTCAGCCATGGTGCCCAGTAGGTATGGGTTGATCTCTGTCACCTTCTTCACCATCTGGGAGGCAATGTAAGCACCTGCTGTAGCCCTGGAGTCGGCCGCAACTATGCCTCCATGGCTGAACTTGAAGGCCAGGGTGGTCGTTCCATGAAGCATTTCGATTCCTGGCTACTCTGGGACACCCCAGCCTGGCACTGCCAGGGTCAGCCCATCACTGGGACTCCCTGGACCCAGATCCAACAGATCTGCACGACCCCCGAGTCCGAAAAACCCGGGCTGGTTCACCGGTAGCGGTCTCTCCAACACGCTGGCCAGCTTAATCCATTTCTTAATTGCTCTGTACTTTAGGTTCTGGATTCTCTTGTCCTTGCCTCCTCAGAATTAGTTGGTAATAAGCCAAGCTCGGTGGTTCACGCCTATAATCCCAGCACTTTGGGATGCTGAGGCGGGTACATCATGAGGTCAGGAGTTCAAGACCAGCCTGGCTAAGATACTGAAACCTCATCTCTACTAAAAATACAAAAATTAGCTGGGTGTGGTGGCGTGCACCTATAATCTCAGCTACTCAGGAGGCTGAGGCAGAGAATTGCTTGAACCCAGGAGGCAGAGGTTGCAGTGAGCTGAGGTAGTGCCAGTGTACTCCAGTCTGTGTGACAGAGCAAGACTGTCTGAAAAAAAAAAAAAGAGGCAAGGATAACTGATACCATTTGCTTCAAGCTCTTCCAGAGAAAGGCAATAAAGCAAGGATGCAGTTATTCATGCCACCAGCTTAACCCATGGGGGTGGCACTGCTGCCTGGTACACAGTAGGGTTGTCAGACATCTCAAATCCTAAAATAGCAGATCTTAATCATGGAGTGTTGGGTGTGACAGTTCTGGGGTGAGTCAAATCTTTAATAGTAATAGCAAGAGCTATTATTTATTGACCCCTTAGTATGTGCCAGGCAATAATGCAAAGTCCTTTTTATGAATTAACTAATTTATTTCTCATAAGATCCTTATAACATAGGGGCTTTTATTATCCCAATTTTCCTGTTGAAAAAATAAGGTATAAAGAGATTAAATAACTGTCCAGGGTCAGATAGCTAGGAACTAGCAGGGCCGGGATTTGTATCCTGGGGAGTTTTTTTCCCGTGTGCTTAGCATTATGTTCTTCCGCCTCATAACTTTGGAGGCTAACCATTAAGGACTTCTTTTCTGTATATAACAGTAGCAAGAGAGAGCTGAACTTTCTTGGACCTGTAATCGTGTGTCTGATAGTGTCCCTTTTGAGAGGGTCCACTGAGGAGAAGACTTCACCTGGTAGATTTTCTTTCTTTCTTTTTTTCTTTTTTTGAGATGGAGTTTTGTTCTTGTTGCCCAGGCTGGAGTGCAATGGCGTGATCTCCGCTCACTGCAACCTCTGCCTCCCAGGTTCAAGTGATTCTCCTGCCTCAGTCTCCCAAGTAGCTGGGATTACAGGCATGCGCCACCACACCCGGCTAATTTTGTATTTTTAGTAGAGACAGAGGTTCTCCACATTGGTCAGGCTGGTCTCGAACTTCCAACCTCAGGTGATTTGCCCACCTCGGCCTCCCAAAGTGCTGGGATTACAAGCATGAGAGCCACCACGCCCAGCCTTCACCTGGTAGATTTCCAAACCAACCAAGTTAAGCTGGCCTCTAGGGATAAGGGGAATAAAAGGGACCATGGGACAGAAGTAAGTAGAGTCGTGGCATGTCAGTTTCACAGCCAGATAATACAGCTGGTGAAAGGAACTCTTGTAGGAGAAAGGAATAAACACAACCTGGGTGGGACTGGGAGGCGTCCTTGCAAAGGAGAAGATTGCTATTCTCTTTAGTACTGGTTAGGTAGGAAATAACTACTTTTATTTCTGATATTCTGAGTCTCTTTTCCTTTGACTCCAGCTTTCACAAGCTTATAGAGGAGTGTTTCATTCATTCATTCATTCATTCATTCATTCATTCATTCAACAAACTAGTATTATTGCTGCCAGTGGATAAAAGGAGAGAGGCATATGCTAATATGCTTTAGCATATTATAAATGAATGGTGATTCCTCCTGTTCTCATTGTAATCCTAATCCCTTCCACAGTGGGGTAGCCATCAGACTCCAGAATACTCACAGAGCACTCCTTAAGCCTTCTCATCTCTGATTCAACTTGAAAAAGCTGCTCTGTAGCTGTGTGTAGTCACTGAATACCCGTGTGCCTCCACGTGACAGGTTTGGTCCACCTTCAGCTGTGCATTCTGTGCAAAGGTGGAGAGCAGTGCCTCTAGACACTTGGTGTGCATCTGTGTCACCCGGAAAGTTTACTGAAAGTCTAGACTCTGAGATCACATTGAGAGATGAATACTAGTTTAAGTGTCAGAATGGGGCTGGCATCCTGGCTCTCCTGCTTACCTCCTGACCTCAGCCAAAGCAGGTGCCCTTACCTGTTAAATGGGCACTGCAGTCACTGCTCAGGGTTATTGTAATGATTCAATGAGAATGCAAATGTGTATGCAAAAGTAGCTTGCAAACTAAAGAAAAATTGCAAAGTGTAATTGTTTGTTATCAGAAGCCCTGTTCCTTCCTGGACCAACAACAGTCGAACACTGATTCAAAAGCGCTGGGACTCCAGACTCTCCTCGCTTCATGACTTTACCTTTGGGCGAGGGAAATGAGTCTTTACGTTAGCAGTAACCAGAAAGAGAGGTCAGTGTTTTGGACCCATAAATTCACTGCATATTTGCTGTTGGAAAACACATAAAAGAGAGGGACCCAGAAGTTGTAAATTCTCCCTTTTGACCTTGGGGTTTTGGAGATTCTCACAACAGTAATCCTATTTATTGGGAAGCAGTATAATCACCTGCCTGGGTGTGAATGCTGGCCTCAACCCTTAGTACTTGTGCAGTCTATCTACAGACTTAACCTTTCTGTGGCTCATTGTCCCCAACTATAAAGTGGTGATAATATTAGGTTGGCACAAAAGTAATTGCAATTTTTGTCATTAAAAGTAATGGCAAAAACCACAATTACTTTTGTGCCAACCTAATAACAACAGTACCACCTGCAAGGGCTGCTGAGAGCCTTCAGTGATGTAGCATATGAAAAGCATTTAGAAAAGTACTCAGGGCACCTGGTAAGTATTTGATAAATGGTAGCTGCATTATTCTGAAGCTTTTGCTGCGTGCTAGCCCTGTGCTAAGCAGTTTCTATGGATGAATCTTTACAAAGCCCTCTGAGGTAGGAAACTAACTTGCTCAAAGTTGTAGAATTCATGGTAGAACCAAGATTTGAACCTTAGTCTCTGACTCTAGAGTCTATGCTGTCTACTGCTAGTTAGTAGACAGCAGAATAGACAGTATACATTCTGTCTACCAGATGGATGTTTCCTTTCTTTCCTTTATATCAGGGGTGTCCAATCTTTTGGCTTCCCTGGGCTACACTGGAAGGATTGTCTTGAACCACACATAAAATACTAACATTAACAACAGCTGATGAGCTAAAGAAAAAAAATCTCAGGCCAGGCGCGGTGGCTCAAGCCTGTAATCCCAGCACTTTGGGAGGCCGAGGCGGGTGGATCACGAGGTCAAGAGATCAAGACCATCCTGGTCAACATGGTGAAACCCCGTCTCTACTAAAAATACAAAAAATTAGCTGGGCATGGTGGCGCGTGCCTGTAATCCCAGCTACTCAGGAGGCTGAGGCAGGAGAATTGCCTGAACCCAGGAGGCGGAGGTTGCAGTGAGCCGAGATCACGCCATTGCACTCCAGCCTGGGTAACAAGAGCGAAACTCCATCTCAAAAAAAAAAAAAAAAAAAAAAAAATCTCATGTTTTAAGAAAGTTTATGAATTTGTATTGGGCCACATTCAAAACGGTCCTGGGCCATGCAACCCACAGGTTGGACAAGCTGCTTTACATGAAAGCAGTGAGGAATTGGTAAGGTGGTGGGAGGGGGGAGATGAGATGCAAAAGGTAAGATTTTCGTGAACCTCTGCAGAAAGGCCCTATGAGCACATTAACGTATCGCCCAAAAGCTGGATGGCTTCCTGATCAAAGATTCCTTGTGGAGAGATCTTTTCCATGGTGAATGGCATTAGGTGGTGGGGCTAAAGCCCAGGCCCCCTGGAGGCTACGGGAGCTTGCAGTGTGGCTGGCAGCTTTCAAGGCCAGAAGCACAGCTGAGTGTTCTAATTCAGCCCTTCTTAAAACGAAGGCTGCATTTTGCCACCCGTAGTCATTTGTTTTCTGTCTTCACTCACCATTCTTTTCCTTAAAAAGGGTTAAAAGCTGCCTTTATGATCACAGCCAGGACTGGAGTGAAAAGGCCGAATTCCACCTCTGAGGACCCCAAAGGGACAGCAGTTGTCCAGAAGAGCTGGCTTTTTGGAGTATAATGTGTCTGTTTACTGTATGAATGCCCAAGTCAAGCGTTTGCCTGACCGGTGGCTGCCCGCCCTTCACTGCGGCGGACTCTGAGAGGTTGATTTGACAGGCAGGAAGTCAAGGCCCTTCAACTGCCAGCAACTAACTTAATGCCCACCGATGGAATGCTTTGTTCCTAAAGGCTGTGTAGGGAAATCAGGACTTCTGTTATCACTCAGCCAAAGGCGGGGGTGGGGCCCTAAAAAAACAAACCAGTTGAAGGTTCTTCCCTAACAGTATGGCTTTTCATTTGCATGCAGCCCCAGGACAGTGCTGTGCTTGCTCTCTCTATTCCAGTACTCTGATTCTTAACATCAAGCCTTTTTGGAAAAATTTAGTCCCCACAGCCCTGTATCCACACACCCCAGCCTCCATTATTGAATATCTTTGGTGTGCCAAGGCGTGAGGTTAGTTTCTTCCATCTTTATTTTTTTGTGTAATCTTTGTGGCTTTTTTTTTTTCTTTGAGTCTCTGCTTTGTCAGCCAGGCTAGAGTGCAGTGGCGTGATCTTGGATCACTCCAACCTCCAGCCTCTGCCTCTGGGGTTCAAGCAATTCTTGTGCTTCAGCCTCCCAAGTAGCTGGGACTACAAGTGTGCACCACCACGCCTGGCTACTTTTTGTATTTTTAGTAGAGACAGGTTTTCGACACCAGTTTGGCCAGGCTGGTCTCAAACTCCTGAGCTCAAGTGATCCACCTGCCTCGGCCTCCTAAAGTGCTGGGATTATAGGCATGAGCCACTGCTTTTGGCCCCTGGTGGCTTTTTTACAAACAAGAAAACTGAAGGTCAGGGAGCTACGTGACTTGCACAAGGTCACATGGCTGGTGGATGGAACCCAAGTCTGCCTGCACCAGGTCCAGTCCTTTGTCCTCCACCCAACTTCCTCCTCCAAGTCCCCCCCCCCACTTTTTT